TGTCGAATTATCAAATCGAAAATATCAAATTTTTAGTTTTCCGTGCTAACCGTGTTAAATCAAAAAAACCGCGTACAAACAGAATTAGGTGTACTTATATACTATTTTTAATATTCAAAACTATACTTATCCATAAGCATATCACCTTGGTGTGTTTTTACTGAAATTGCTCGAACAATAAGCTTTTAACTGTTTAGAAAGTCGATACAACAAGGCTTTAAAATACGGTGTCTTGGTTTGAAAAATTGTAAATATTTGTTATACTTGTATTTTCGTGAAGCTTTTTTTTTAACATTTAAAAATTTAGCTACAAGTATATGGATATTTTGTCTAGTTTCTGTTTATAATTAAATGTTGAATGATGAGGATTGTTTGCATTCAATTGAAAACATTTCCATGTGAACGAATCTTATTGTATACTTAGAAAGGGATCGACGGTTTCATAAAGTGTTGTAATTTTGACTGCGTTGCGAGTCTGTGGAAATAAATTGAATACACCCTCAGGCGGATCATAAGCCCATATCTAGTCTCCTGACGAATGTCTTTTAGTCCACTTCCCCCTGTGCGCCCTTCTGCTCGACCGATGTTGGCGGCAATGCTATTATGGGCATAGTGCTCGTCCTGCTTGTTATTAAGCATAATAATTTTGTGCAATTTGGCATTTCGCAATTTCAATTTGCAGCAGTTGCACTGGCTGTGGATGTTGTGGCAGTTGCAGTTGCACTTGCCACTGTGGCAGTAACAACTACAGTTACTGCTGCACTTACACTGGCAGTTGCTTTTGATGGGCACTTTCTCGTTCTGGCTCTGGTTTTTGGGGCCGTGGCTATTGTTAATGGGGCCGCCTGCCCAATTGCGCTAATTAGCCACTCGGTGTGTGTGTGTGTGTGTGTGTGTGTGAGTGTGAGTGTGGGAGTGTGTGGGTGTTTATGCCATTAGTTATGGGGCTGCCGGGCTGCATAAAACGCCGGCTAGTGTGCCACTTTACCAGCAATTTGCAATAAATTTCAAATTAGGAACCATTCCACTTTGCTTGTTGTTAGATGTTGGCTGGTGTTCTTGGCTTTTATGACATTTGCCACCAGCTAATAACAACAAAAAGGCAAACACAAGTCACACACTTAGACTCACACTCGCACTCCCGCACATGCATACATACATATAGTACGTACGTATGTATGTATGTATGTATGTATACAAAGGCCAGGCCACAAAGTGTAATGCAGCCAGCTGAAAGGCAATGCGAAATAAATGAAAGGAATATGCATAAATAGAGCAATTGAGAAAGCAATAGAAGACAGAGCCAAGCTGGAGGCAAGACCTTCACAGCATCATGCACTCAAATAGGAGGGCTACAGTTATAATATGGTACATAAATATAATTGTATAATAATTATAAGTATGCACAAGGTGCTTTCTTAAGTAAACAGCACATTCTAGGCTATCGGTTTGTGACCGGTTGGTTACCGACTTGCAGTAAAAATTGAATTTTCACAAACATGTTGACCATCCAGAATTCGTAAGTCGAAAATCGAAGATGCAGTCAAGAAGTTAATTGAAATGGAATTAAATATTTCAAAATGAACAATTCATGTGTCTCTTACTTTTGCAGAAAAATACACTTGCCGATGAAAGATAGCCGTTATGCAGAGGACGTAGAGGCCACTGATACTTTGAAGGCCATCCTGGCCTTATTTTTAAAAAGTCCTGTTTGCTTTGGAAAGCATATTGTACGACAATATTACAAAGCAATAACAATGTAATATAATTCGGTTATTATTCCAAAGTATTTATCTATAAAATATACATTTTTGAAACCCCGTTCCATTGTTATTCAAAATAAGGTTTCGGGCTTGTAAGGGCTTAGTTCAATAGAAAGTTAAGAACAAAATTATTCCATTGGGCTATCGCAATTTAAAAATTTTCCTTCCATTGTATTAAATTCAAATAAATGGGGAATAATTCGATCATAATCAACATGCAAGTAAACAAAGAAGAGACAATTAAAAATTATTCTATTATAAAAAATCTCTGCTTAGTAGTATAGCTCAAAAATTCTGTGGCATATTCTAGTCATGTCATTAGGAATATCGTCTCTCTATGTAACTTAATTAAATTAATATTAAATTAAGTAGTAAAATTATACAATTCAATGTTCCACTATGTCTCCACCTTTTAGCCTTTAATTATATTTTGTCTTTCATTAGTTAAGCATTTTTATATTAATTTATTATATAATCTAATCATACATCTTCTCTATTTTTCATTGTCTTCTTCATCTCCATTTCTTCTTTTTAGGTCTAATAACGTTTCTGACTGCTCTCTGCTGTGAATCGGGGCATAGCTGGCCGTTTGCTAAATAAAATTCCCCCACCGAGTCTGATTCGTTATTAGACATGTTTGCAATTCCTCTACGCTGTTTTATTCTTTAGTTTTACATACATAGTTTAAGTTCTCTATTGTATTGATATTTTTCTATTTTAAATTGGGCTTTGTTTGTCGATGAAACAAATAAAAGGTGACACTGAATTGCTGTCGCGAATAATTGTCATTGCTGAGTTTGAAAGAATGCTGCAAATGTGATGAATACGCTAGTAAGAAAACAAAAGTCGAGCTATCCAAATAACGATTCGATTAGTTGTTGTTTATCTTAATTGCTCTTTTTACCGCCTTGTGGGCCTTACACTTTTTAGAGAGTAAGGTCTGAAGGGCAATCAACAATTTTTATTTAATGCACTAACCAAATGGTATTCAAGCGCAACAAATTTGAGCGCTAATCTTTTATTCAAACTGAATAATTTAGTTTTTCAAGTTATTCAATTGCAATGGCAAGTTTCGGATAAAAACTACATATATACTTGTATATACATATAGAGATATTTTTTAAGACAGAACTTCTGCTATTATTCAAATGAGCGGAGGTGTGCCTACTTGAGGTATGTGTGGGTTGTTTGCTGCTACTACGGACGCTGCCAAATTACACTAGACAAAGTTGAAATGCAATTGAAAAGTTTGCAAAAACAGCAGCTTGGAGCTGGCAACTGGGAATGCAGCTTTTGGGCCGCATCGGGGATCCAGGGAACTGAAGGCTTCGCTACTGGCACAAGAAATGTCATAAATGTTGAGGCAATAACGTATGTATCTGTGTTTGAGTGTGTTAGTGTGTGTTGCCCTGTACATGTGTGCGAGCGTGTGTTGGCAGATTCGTTAAATTCATATGAAAAACTTTATTGATGGCAACAACTACTGGGGACTGGCTTGCAAGTTGCAACTGTTCTACCAATGCTTGCAACACCCCAGGGCAGACAAATTAGCCGGCAACGATTGCCCCTGTCCCTTCATCGGGGGCACCTCACAATGCTGGTCTGCCTGATAACAAGGGCGAGCCCTTACAATGGCTGGGTGTGGAAGTGGAAGTGGTGGTGGGCGGGGGCGGGAGCGTGGCTGTGGGCGTGGCAAAAGTTTTGCAACCGGACAAGTTTAACAAAAGTCTTAACATATTTTCGTAATCCAAAAGTTTTATACAAATGCGACTTAATTGTTGGTACGCGCAGTTTTGCTGCAGTTCCTGTATTCATTGTTGTTGCTTTTATTATTGTTGCACTTGCATTTGTTGGCGCTTGTCAAGGGCGTAAACAAAAACAATAACAACAGAGAGAGAGAGAGAGAGAGAGAGGAGAGAAGAGAAATAGCAACAGCAACATCATCACCCAGCACCCAAATGAATTTGCTTTTGATGATGTTGGCGCGCTTTATTAAGTGATTAGAACAAAAAACAATAAAAACAAGTTAAGCGCAGCGAATTGCGAGTGGCGAATAGCGCTCGAAGGATAAAAACAACAACAGCCAGGACGTAGGCAAAAAGTAGCTTTAGGGGGTGGGGGGGGGAGGGGGGAGAGTTGTAAGCGAGAAGGGATTTGCTGCACAGTGTCGTATTTTGTTTTCTTTAATGAGCTTACGGCCATCACACATACATACATAAATATATACTTGTAGTATTGGAGTACAAAGCAGGACGACAAAAGCCAGGCTATTACATTTGGCTAATTGATAGCAAGGGTTGCATGTTCTGGAGAAGCTTCTGTATATCTATCCGATGAAGAAATATAAAACAAGTGGGGAAGCTAAAGTCGGGTGTCCCGACTTTGAAATATTCTATACATATGCTTAGAATAATTATTACAATTATTAGAATAATAATTACCTCTCTCGGTATTCGAACTCACGTAAAGGATGTAACTTTTCACATATACGAAGCAATTGCTTCTATGTGAGTGTATGCATGTTTATGCGTGTCTATTCATGTCTGCGTGAGCATGTTTGCAGTCAACAGACAGACAAACAGACATAGATCGACTCGTCTTGTCAAGCTGATCATATAGATCACATGCTGATCATAGATATAGATATCATATAGATATATATACTTTATGGGGTCTGCTACGCCTCCTTCTGCCTGTTACATTTTTCAGCTCCCGCAAACCTAATATACTCTTGTACATATCATGTACAGAGTATAAAAACTGGTTCTTGGATGAACTGAGAACGATATATTCAACGAACGAAGTGAACCGTTCACCTGTGACTATTTCCCAAAATCGTCCGTAGGTAACAGTTCTTTTGTGACATAGAGAAACGGTTAACAGTTATTTGCAAGCTCTGATTTACTTGTATTTATATCTATAAAAAAAATCCGATCAACATTTGTGATAGAAATCAAAATAAAGAAATATTAAAACAACAAAATCTGTTGAGTCACAGACAAGTAGATGATTTTACGAAACTTTGATTTGATTTAAATGTACAATAAACCCCAACAAAAATGTCCCATCATCTAATCAATCGATTTCATAAACTTATCGACTTTCTACCCTAATATTCTTCGGCGCAGCTATAAAAAGTAAAGTAGGCATAGTTAGCGTCGTCATTGAGCAGAAGGCATATTCTTTGAACGTCCAGACTTTGCGATGTCAGTTCCTGAAAAAAAATCTCCTGCCAATATGTCTAAGCCACCACCAAAAGCGAAATCTGGTATTGGCAGTGTGAAGGAATACAATGTGCGCTTAGCAAAGACTGGGATAGTCCATCATGGCATGGGTTTCAACGCCAACCTTAATGTGAACTTCGACAAATGGGATGAGGTCACTATTCAGAGGGAGAATAATTGGGAGCAATCGCGTCCCAAGGAGGAGGAGCAACCCAGGTACGGCCCAGGCACGGCTTACAACGGGGGACGCAAGAGGTTCCGTAAAACCAGTCCCCCGAAAAAATATCGAGCCAAGGATCAGCCATGGATACTGACTGTGGGCGGCAAGCAGGGCAGGCAGTACAAAGGCAATCGCGAAGAAGAGCGTGGAAACTTGTTCCTCTTCTTGCAGGCCAAGGATGGATGGATCGACGCCTATCCGATTAAGGACTGGTACAACTTTCAACGCATTCCAACCCACAAGACGCTCTCTGCGGAGGAGGTTGAGGAGATATTTGCACGGCGCAAGAGGGGCGGCCACGATACTGATAGCTATTACTTCTCGCAAATCTTACGGAAGCGATTGCGTGGCAACGACGAGGAAGAGGAGGGGGACCAGGAGGAGGAAGAGGGGGAGGATGGACGCAATCCTCAGCAGAACGGTCCACCGGAGGAGTACGAGCCAGTGCGAAAAGAGAACTCCGACTCCGACTATTCCGATATTGAGTCCGAGTTGAACTGGTACGACAGGAAGCCAAACAACAGAGACGTTGGCCGAAAAGGGAAACAGCACGAACTTGGGGTGAACAAGGATGACGACGACCCCGATGAAGGGTCAGACGATAGCGATGACGAGTCGGACGATAGTGATGATGAGTCGGACGACAGCGATGATGAGTCAGACGACAGCGATAGTGAATCGGACGATGAGGAGGACTCGGACGACTCCGATAGCAGCTCCGCTGAGGACGAGTAATGCGAGGATCTGAAGAATCTGGCCTTCAACTCAAATTAACTGGCACACTTATTCGATGTACTTTGAAATTAACACACAGGCAAAGAAATAAATAAAATGATAATGACACAACATGATTCGTGATATGAAGTCGGAAGCATTTTAATCTCTGCTCACATCTTGTCAGAATGAGCTCGAAACTGCAAACTTAGCAACACTTTTGAGCAACGGTTATCTAAGAAATCAATTGTGTCTTTAATTTATATTTGAAATCATATCATAAAACATCTTATTATTATATCCCTGTACTGTACTGTGCATAACTCCAAAGCTACGTAAATTAATCGTTATTATTACATATAGTTCTCTATTTATATCCTGTACCCAAAGGGTAAAAGGCCTAGTATAGCCTTTTTGTGCGACTGTATGTAACGCACAGAAGGAGGCGTGGCAGACCCCACAAAGTATATATATTCTTGATCAGGGTGACAAGCCGAGTTAATATAGCCATGTCCGTCTGTATGAGCGCAAGGATCTCAGAAGGTACAAGAGCTAGAATAACCAAAGTCGGTATCCAGATTCCCATAAGCCCTAGGCAGATCAAGTTTATTTTTTATTCTGATACACCCCCCCCCCCACTCCCCCGCAATTCGTGTTTTTTTCTATAACTCTCGGATTTCTTGGAATTTCGTACTAAAATGGTAACTACATCCCCTTAGTGATTAGGTGTCTGTCTGCCAAGTTTCATCATGATAGGTCAATTCTGAAGAATGTTATAGCCATAAATAAAATCGCTGCCCATGCTCTGATTGTAGCGCTGCCCGCAGCTGTTGTTTTTGTTGCTGCTTGGGTTCAACTATTTATTTTCAAAACATCGGTAGAAGTATATTATTACGTGTGAATTGGTTGGACTTATGTAGCGTTTATAAAGTGGACAGTTGTTTCGAAATTTTGTGGCGTGTGACATGAAAGCAAGGATCTCAAAACTATAAAAGCTAGAATAACCAAAGTTGGTATCCAGATTCTCCTATGTCCGAAAACGGACGAGTTTATTGTATTTTTTGGAATTTTCCCCCCTTTCCCCGCTACAGAATTTCGTCAATACCGTCCACATTTCAAAAGCTACATTAACCATTTATACATAATCTACTTTTGTTTCAAATATCATCTAAATCGGTTAAAGCTAAGAAAAGATTTCGACACTTGACATTTCAAGTACGGTCAAGTACAAGTTTAAAGATTATGTCAAGCATTTACAGAAAGTTGCTCAATTTTATATCTAGAGGAATATAGGTAAAATGAATATGATATGTCTGTGGCATTATTTCTGAATTTGTAAAAATTGTTAGTCATTTCCTATTCTTTGTGACTCCCACATACACTGTCTCACTAACCAATTAATATATATAAGATGAGAGTGCCGCACAGCAAAATCTTTATTGAATGTCCTTGCCAAAAGCTTAAATCAAAGTCGACTTAAAAAGCAGAGAAGAGAATAACAATAGTGAGTGTTCGGCTTGAAGAGAACAAGCATAAACATAAAGAGTTTATCTTATGAGGGTATTTGTGAAAATGGTTAATTTATTAATTAAAAATTCCAAGTAGCTGAAGGAGATTGCTCGATTTGCAGAATGTGTTCAATACTCTCTTCTGAAAGTATTATCGTCTTATTATTTTGTTGGAATTTGATTGAATGCAATAACTTGGACGCACATGGTCACGCACGTGCTGGCTGAGGAAAAACAATTGCCAAGTTCTTGCCTTAATTTCATTAATAGCCGAAAACTTTGAGCCACGAATATGTACATACATATGTACGTATGTATAGTACTTGTATGTGTGTGTAGACGAGTATGTGTGTAAAGTAACAAATTGTACGAGCTATTATGGCCTTGCAAAAGATTTCGTAAGTATTTTTATGTCTTCATTTCAAAGACACAGATCGGAACGATGACAATATCTAATAGTAGTTGAGCCAAATGCCCATTTGGACACAAACAAGGCTGCATGATATGAAATAAGTAATAAATACGAACATTATGGCGGTGGCAACAACAACGTCGGACAAGAGATAAAGCGAGCACATTAACGCCACAAATTTCGACATAGATGTGACACAAATGTCACATACACTTATTGATTTGTGCAACACACACAAACATGCGAGTAAGCCGGACCAACACGATGATGCCGGGGCAGTGCTGACCAAGGTGCCACCAAGACGTGCGACCACTGAAACCGAACGTCTGGCTCGGATCCTGCCTAACCACTTACATAGTCAAGTCAAGTTAAACCAAAATTGAAACCCCAAAACTGTAATCGAACACTTTTCCTTTTCTGGACACAAAAACACGCACGCAGCAAGCCACAACCACACACACACACACACACGTACCTACTACGAACATGCAGACACCTAGGCGAATGTTTGTGTGTGTGTATGTGTGTGTGTGAATGTGGACGAATGTGCTGGGCATGTCGAAAGATTGCATTTACACGGACATTGACTCGCAGCCGCTGGTGAATCGTTCCCCCAACCCCTAACCCCCAACCAGCTCCCCCTCTCAGGCACAACCCCCAGCTCCGACTCATCACGGCTGTCTCATCCATAACCTATCCACTGTAGATGGAATACTATATTACTCACGCGAGTGCTGGTCCAACCTTGATTGGAAGACATACTACAAGTATAAATAGGTTCGAATAAAAGGAAGTATTCTAACATGTGAGGATGTTCCAACAGAGAAAGAATACTTAAAATAGAATGTGGGCTACAAGTATGATACCAATTTATTGATGTTTTAGCTTCATTAAATTATATCGACTGAATAAATAATAGAGCTTGTAGTCGGGGAAAACTATTAATTTGCTAGTATTGTGATTGTGAAGTTCCGGAGGGAGATATACTATAGCTTTCTATACTATATTATGTGGGTTCAGTGAATACTTGTAATACTCGAAATCCACTGATTGATGATTTCTACGCTTTTGGCCTTCAGTGGATGTAAATTAATCGAAAAATATTTTACAAAGTCTTATTACTGCTCTTGAGAGTTCTTTATATGTAATTGCTCAAAATTGCAATTATTTGCGTCTTAGGCGCACTAAGAAATTTACATCCTTAAATCTAACAAACTTTTGCAGTTGGATTGTTTTTATAGAATAAGTCGAAGGACTGCTTTCTAATACCTTCGATAGATTTATTTGATGCTCAACATTTTTGGGCTATAAATAATAAAATAATAAAAACAATGCATTGTAGTATATGAGCTGAGCACTTTTGCATATATTTGTACATATGTATAAGCATAGTACGGGTATGTAATAGCACGAGAGCACACTTTATCACGCGCCCATCTCCAACTTGCAGACTCTGGAGCCAGGGAGAGTCTATTAACGTTGTAGGCGCACGATGTTTGGTGTGAGGCGGCAGGTGGGGCGGTGGAGCGGGGACCTGTGGCTAGCCACGAGCTATTTGAAGCATTTGGCGTTGAAATTGTAGCCAGGTTAGCTTTGATTTTTTGCTGGCCCTAGGTTGAGCTCAGATTTTCTCAGATTTTACTAGCAAGCGTCTCTTTTTGAAGATAAAGTATTTTAGATACGAGTACCTACGAGTGTACGAGCACGCACAGATTAGCACATAGATACAAACCCATATACATATGTACATACCCGTACATTGTGGTGAGCTGGGGGCCATGCGAGTGAATGGAATCAGAACTCGAACCTTTCGGCATGTGCAGGGCAGCCATAGCCACAGCCACAGGCACAGTCACAGTCACAATCACATTCCGCGTTCAATGGGAAGCCTGCAATTTGTGCTTTGTCCTTTAGTCCTTGCGCAAGAAATTTGACAACTTGCATAATGTCTGGCAAAGCGCAGAAGTCAGTCTGCAGGCGAAATGACAAAGCACTGTCTATAGTAACACACCCACACCCATACCCTATACCTACCCTACACAGGTACCTACTTGTACACCATCCACCTGGATGGCTGAAATGGCCCATTTACCACTTATTCGCCCTTTGCTTTTGGTTTCGAAGTTGCACAAACCAAACTTGGAGCAGTGCTTAATTAACATGCTGCATTTGTGGCATCAGCAAACCCGTTCCTGCCACCGCCTCGTCTTCTATAATTTAATTTGTGGTCTTAGCTTTTATTTCAAGTACTTTGCCGAAAGCTGTGTGCCACTGGGGGAAGCATAACTATGTAGAAATTTAAATAATCGACCAGATTACTTAAGCATAGCCTTCGACCGCAAAATGCTTCCCTCTGCAGGGAGCGGGCCGGGGATGGGGATGGGCCCTAACAGCCCCCTCGGATCCTTCCATAGCGACCATCAAAAGCATCAGCTAGCACAGCTGTGTGACTGCGTGGGGACAGACTTAAGTACATGTTATGGCTTTGGATATTTTGCAAACTCTGCATGTTAGCACAGCCACCTAACTTAACGAGGAATAAACAGTTTGATTATGAATTTGAAATACGGTATTTTAATGTTTTTAGTATTAATTGATCAATGTTGTACCAAACAGAACAAAAAAGGACACCTATTTCTGTTTTTACACGGTAGATTGGTTCCAGAAACAACCGTGTAAAAAAGACATTGATCATATGCAAAAATAGGTGATTGGTTCCATATCTATAAAACCTATTAAAATCAGCGAAAAACAAGGATTTTTGTTTTTTTTTATCAAAGCTGTTTGTCAGTTGTGTGAGTTCTTATTTATTTATTTTGTGTTATTTTGAATCGTGCTCACATTTTTAATTTTCAAACCGTGTTAAATGAAAACCGTGTAAAATATACCGTGTACAAACAGAATTAGGTGTACTTGTATTTTATAATTGTCAACGCCTTAAATAGTCGCTGTCGTGTTGCAGAACTAGACCTATGGGAAGTGACTATTGCAAAGTATTTTGCTTAATATAGGTTAAGATATTACAGATATAAGAAAAGATTTACTTTTCTCAATGTATACCCTCATACATACTATATGTTGGACTATTTGCTGTTAAGAATACTTGCCAATAATCAAAGATAACGCCAGTAGAACTCAAAATTTCATTAGTTCTGATTTATTTGAGGGATCGGTGCAATTGTGGATTGTTTTCGTAGAAGCCCATAAATATAATCAAAACAAATTATTTCTTACATCAATTAAATTTCCGTCAATTTTTCCTATATTTTATTTTTTTTTAGTTAAATGAGATGGAAACTATTCTTTAAATGTTTGTTTTTTATTTTCATTTTGGCCCTTCACCTCTTGGGTATAAAGTATTAAAATATAGCAAATAAAAGGAGCCAATAGTAAACTTTTTCATTTATTTATTCATTTTTTGCAAATAACTTAGCAAATGGTTGTGGCCGTGGCTGCATTCCAGGTCCAGCCAGGTCCCTAGTATGTAGTATGGTTTGTGCGTGTCCGCAGCAGTTGGCCATCCATGTAATTAATTTAAGTGTTTATTTTATTTGGTTTGTGTGTGTGTGTGTGTGTGTGTGTGTGTGTGTGTGTGAAGCTTTGGTCTTTAAAATTGATTTTTTTCTACTCTTTTGGGGATGTAGCAGCTGCTGACTAAACAGGCTGTGGTGAGAGAGTTTGTGTGCATATTTGTTGTACTTGTATTTGTGGTGTTATGCAGGCATTTTGAAGTCCCCAACTGACTATGGCCCCGAACACCCACTGACCAGCCCAGCTTACTTTGCAGTTGGGGCCAGTCCTGGCGTCGGTGCTTTCGGTTCATTCTGTAACAATTCACTTTTCACTTGCTTCCACATGCACTCTCTGTTTAAATGCAATCCACTTTAATCGCCGCAATGTTTGCGCCAACAGTTGATAAATCCACAAATATTTATGCGCATTTGCCAAAAGGATTTGGCCAAACAGCTGATGACAATATAAAAAGCATTTGGGAATGCAGCTTAAATGGTTGTCAAGCCAGCGTCCTGCTCCTTTTTGTTTTCAGCAGGCAAATTGATTACTAATCGCCTTCCCATACTGGTTATACGCACTTCATATACTCATATACGACATTATTGATTGCCACAAGAGGTGCCCTTTTCTGGACATGAATCGGTTGGCTTAATATTGTAAATCAAAATAAAATTGTGGACGCCATATTTCTTTACTGATAGCAAATCGAGCAAATCCGACAGCCTGTACTCGAGACAGAACCCAAAATGTTTATATATTCTTGATTAGCATGCCAAGACGAGTCGATCTATGTTTGTCCGTTCGTCCGTATGAACACCTGGATCTCAGAGACTACAAGAGCTAGAGAAACCAAATTTTGCACAAAGATGCCTTATGAGTGTACGCTATACGAGTTTGCTTTATTTTTTTGGATTTTCCCTTACTTCCCCCCTATGGGGGATTTTCCGATTTTCCATTCGTATAATCGCCTATATCTCAGAGACTAGAGCCCCTAGGGGCACCAAATTAAGTAATTAAAAATATATTTTGATTAAAAATTTGTTTATTTTAAAACTACGTAGCTTAAATAAAGTTGCCAAATTATTGTACACAGAAGAAATTTGTACAGGGAGCTTACAAATACTTAAACGTTACGTTAGATACTACATACAAACATTTCAATAAAGGAAACCAACACCAGCTGTGTTAGTTTAAAATGAGAAATGTTTAATTTAACTTGATTTGAACGCTTAAGTCCATCCTTGATGATGACAAACCAAATATATGGTGCTGCAGCTGGGGACCTTTCAATTTCCAATTACATAAATTTTGCTGCCGTAGACCATTTTGGTGGACCGCGGAGTATCACTATCTTGTATAACCTGGCCTTGGAAAGTGAAGTACATCTTGTCCTGGTTTAAGTCGAAATGGTCGCAATAAGCGCGCTTCAAGCGATCCAATCTATCCGAGCGCCTTATCTTAAACCAAACAACCTCTTTGTCCATGTTAATCACGCGAAGATGGGTGAACATGCTGCAAAGAATTTCGATTAACAATTCCCAAATGGGCGCAACTATCTGAAGCACCACTTACTTAAGTTAACTTTTTCCAGTGATTTCGTGAAGTTTCCTGTTGTATTAATTGTTTAAACGCAGTGACAAATATACTTGTATATATATAATTAGAATCGATAGGTTGTTACTTCCGTGCCTAGAAATTAAAGGATATGTGAGGAATTAAAAAGTAATTGAATGATCCCAGTCTGAAAAAGCGCCAGCATAGATTCAACAATTCACATAATTTTAGTACCTAATAAGAATATTAAGATTGGTTTAAGGAGGTTTAATTGTATTATTATTATTTATAATTATTTATAATATTGTAAGCGCTGAAAGTTTATCTGGTAATGATTGCAAATTGACCAAAATCTAAAATTGATACTCCAATGACTCCTTAAAAGGTGTTTACAAGGTTCATTAGTTGCCTGCTTACGTTTTAAAGCTTCATTCGGTTTTCCTCACATGTTCTTCTTGTTTTAAGTGCTTTTGCTTCGAATTTTATAAACCACTTTTGTAACAACTTTTGCTACGTTGCGGTGCTCAGTGCCAATATGGTTTCCCATCACCGGCAGTTTTCCTCATGGGTTTGTAGTCTACGCTTCTTCAGTACAGCTGCAGTTGACATTTTTCTTCATTTTAGCCGTAACTATTGTTAAAATGTTGGCAGTGTTGCGAGTGTGACTAATCGTTGCATCTCCTGGCGCGAGATCAATGTAATAAAGCGTTTCCCAATCCAATTGATGGATATTTAAATCTCAATAATAATAGAATACCCGATTCACCAAAAGAATCTTTCTATTCCTGATTTACTCACATGAATGTTATCTCCTATTTCCTGGCGCTGCCGGACTTAAGCACATGTTTTATGTTTTTAAACAAAGTCGATTAACCTTTGAAATATCGATACAAAGCACGGTTCATCGAAGACCCAAACAAAATTGTAGCGGCTGTACAGCTGTAACGAACTAACGTTTTGTTCCGATTCCGCAAATCGCAACAACGATATTGTGACTCACTAACGGTTGATCGAAGACTCGAACAAAATATTATCGACTGTACGCATGCTCATTGAAAACCTGCTAAGCGCACTTGTTATCTTATTTAGTATTAGCTGCTTAAGCAATTATCTCATGGTCATCCACCTTGTTCTGAAACTGTATGAAAATTGTTATTTGTTTTGGCAATTTGCCGCATTATGTCTTGTGTGTATTATCTCAAGGAACATATAATTGGATTTTTTTCTGATTCCACATAGCACAGCTACAATATTTGGTATTAAGATATCACTCAATCACATTTATATTTACGTATTTACTTTGGTATATATGTACAAGTATAATCTAGTTAGAATATCGTCAGAATCAGGAAGGTATTGAATAATACAATATCCGTTCAGAATTGCATATGCGAGTTGTGCGTGGAAGTAGTCGAATAGATTCCGAGCTTGTAACATTTCTTAATAGCAGAATATCTATCATATCCCTGTATCTGAATTCCATAACCTCCTCGCGATGCGGCTAACGCTTATCGACGCTATTCACCGAATTAAATAGATGCAAGTTATCGAAAACTGTATATGCGTTCTGTCATCTCTAGGTCTGCACATCTCTCCGTGGAAAACGTGGTTAAGCTCAAACAGAAGTTTTTTAATTCGTCGGGGACATTTTGTGCTATTGGACGACAATGTACATAAAGGAGATTGTGTTGAGTGGATTCAAGTCGTTCGGCAACCATACTGAAATCAGTGGCTTCGATCCGAGATTAACGGCGATCACTGGTGCAGAGGGTTCAGGAAAGACGAATCTTTTAAATGCCATTTATTTTGTGCTGGGATCTAACAGTGTGCAAGATGTGAGTAGATGAAGAAAAGTAAAAGTGGGTGAACCGATTTCTCAACTAGTTGGCTATTAATTGTAGCTGCGCGCTGCAGGCGTGCAAGATCTGGTTTTCAACAAAGGGGAAAGGGCTTCTGTGACAATTGTCTTTGATAACACGGATGACACGCATTATCCGCTGGGGTACGAAGAATGGGAAACTATTGTGGTGACGCGTCAAATTGTGGGCGGAAGCCAAACCAGGTTCCTCATAAATGGCAAAAATGTAGAAGATAAGGATGTGCTGGAATTTTTTAAATCTGCTCAAATGAGCATGCAAAATAAACATTATTTTGTCGCTGAGGGTAAACTAGACTATATCCTAGGATTGGACACTAAAAAGGTAATCATCGTACTATAATGGGTCTAGAGCGTATTTTATATCCTGCATTATATTCCAGTTCTTGTTATTGGTGGAAGATGTAGCTGGCACGACTATTTACAAAATGAAACGTGATGCCAGCAGAGCTCTGGTACAAAAAATGGAGACTAAGGGGCGCGGGGCAACGGACGGGCGGATAGAAAATGTACCGCGTAAGGACCGCGCCATTTACCGAGAGTATCAAAAAATCTGTCGTGATATCGCGGCACTCACTCATATACACATATCGGCCCAGTATCAGAACCACCGTGAAGCTTTGCAGTTAGCGAAAGCTAAAGAGATTAAGATAAACAATCGTATTGACAACTGTCGCAGCACACAAGCCAGCAATGAGGAGGCAATTAGACGCATTAATGCGGCAATGAAGGACATTCAGATGAAACTTGCTGCTATATCGGGTGAACGCTTAGAGGCAGGGGCAGCAGATGAGAGTGCTATTGGGGCTACAGCTACGGCTATTCAGGAACCAGCTGAGGAAGTGGTGGAAGTGGAAGATACGAAAAAAAACGACATAGAGCAGAGCGAAGACCCACAGCAAGAGCTAGCGACTGAGAGTGATTTTACGGACACTCAGGAGCCAGCTGAGAAAGCGATTGAGTTGGATACGAAAATAATCGACCGGGCATTCGAGGACCTGTCCATAAAAGAGTCCAGCTTAGATCAGAAAACCGTATCCAACGTGATGTGTGAATTCTACCAGATGGATATGAATCCCTGCGTAGTATTGACGAATGACATGGGAGACAGCGTAAGAATAAGCAAACATTTTATTGTAATGCATCAATGGGTCGCACCTTATCCTTTTCACTTGGCAGATGCATAGCTTTGTTGCCGGAGATAGCGATGCAAGCATCAAGATTCAGCAGTGTGACAATTCGCAACAGTGTGCCACCTTCATACCTCTGTTCGAGGTCTTACCATACTTTCTGTACGAAATTGTTCATGAGTACGCACAGGCAAAAGTAAGTCTCCCTAAACCGAAGTCGAATAAATGCCCTAACAATTCCACTTTTAGTACGGCAAGGATAATGACAATTGGAACTTATGCATTATAACATATGAGCCCATCGAAAAAGTCTTTGAGAACGCTGTGAAGGTAAGCCCGTGGGCTAATCATAAATATTTCCCATTTGTAATTAAAACTATTTAAAGCAAACTACTGACCACAATTTGGGATTGCATGTGCTAGATCAGAAAGACAATGCTGATGATGCCGCTTCGTTTACGAACGAAAATATATTAGACGAGTTTATCATTTTTAAAAATGACAAAGATGTTGAGCAAAAGCAGGCCGAATACAAGAAAGTGATAGAGGACTTGGCGTAAGTGACCCTTCGATTATATGGGACTGTATAGCAATATACTGCTGTCGTTTCTCATTTCAGTAATATCGATAGCGAACTCAGCCAGATCAATAAACAGAAGATTTTGCTTGAACAGCGCTGTCAGCAATTGTCCAAATACATAGGTCTCTCTAGCCACAAAGCTTTAGCGTTACAACTGAATCAGGAGAAGGACTCACGCGACGACATCAAGGAGGCTTCACGCGATGAAAAGGGGAGCTCCAACCCAAAACCTGTCGATTCCAAAGAAGATTTAGAGCGTGAGCTGCAGGCTCTGTTCAATAAGAGAGAAATGTTGCTGGAGCAAAACGTGGAGCTCGAACTACAGGTAGAGAAAAAAGTACTGGAAAAGATCAAGATCATTAATGAAGGGATGGAAGCTGAGAAGAAGATGGAAGAACTGGAATGCAAATATTCATGGATAACAGAAAATAGGGATTTTTTCGGAAAGAAGAACACACGCTACGACTACTCCAAAGATAATGCTGTAGATGCCGGGAAAAAATTGGAAAAACTACTAGAGAAGAAGAGCCAAATGGAAGGTAATCGAAAGTTAAGCAAAATCCTACAAGACTTGGTAATGAGAGAGTACGAAGTCGATATCCGTAAGCAAGTGCAATCTATGCAAAATAGCGAATTACGGACACTAGTGCATAGAATTGATGATGAAGAAAAGAATCAGTTAAAGGTGACGCGCGACATCATCAACGAACATTTCGCCAGCATATTAGGCACATTGTTGCCCGGCGCCCACGGCCATGTCGAAGCTATCATGGAAAATGGCAGATATACTGGTATGGAGTTGAAAGTGGGCTTCGATGGTGTTTGGAGAGACAGTGCTGCTCAACTGTCCCCCAAGGAGAGGTCATTGGTCGGGCTCTCCATGATGCTTGCCATCTGGAAATATGCGCCAGCACCGATTTACGTTTTAAACAGGATAGAAGGGACCCTTGATGATGGCGAATTAAACAAAGTTGCAAGCATTCTTAAGAGCTTTTCTGGATCGCAGTTGATTATTACTTCCCAAGCGGATGGTCTACTTGATCGTGCCAACGTCACATTTCGCACCGACTTCAGGAAAGGAAATTCGACGATTGAACGCATTGCCAAGCGCTAAACATTTCTTTATGCCTCGCACCAAAACTTTTTTTAAACTTTAATTCGCCAATATTGGTAATATTTATAAAAATACGGCTTAACATTATTTCAATGTATGCATGTATTCGTGTGTATATATATTTTTTTAATATTTTATGACCAATTGCTTTATAAATGCTTTGGTAATGTTGATTTCATTTGGGTCTACATTAATCACTGAACGAGGTACAAATATCTTGATAATATTAACTACCGATAGGTAACGGTAGCTACTAGCTAGCGAAGAACATATTTAGTTTTAATAAGGAAAAATACACACAAGTTCGTAAAAGAAACGAGTATTGGTCTACAAATATACTTAGCTAAGAAAGGGAGAACAGATTTTATTTATGTATTATGTATTGTAGGCTGGTTAGTAATTCGTAAGCCAACAATTAAGTAACCCTAGATAGCAAGAAGTGGAGCGGAGTCACAGAAGAGAAGCAAACTTACAAGACGATGAAGTGGACAAAAATGATGTGTTAGCAAGGAAGCAGACGGGTCGGCAGACCTAAGACGACAACGTGGGCCACAGCTAGACAGACGGCTAGAAATGGAGTTAGGAAAGTTCTTGTAGAAGCCCAGTGGAGTCAAAGGAAAACAAATGGGCGGGAAAGCGCAGCACAAAGCTCGTATGACGGCCGGCTTGTGAGTTAATCGAGGGGAGTTCGCCGAGAAGGGCAGACGATGGACCAATGATGACAAGCCAACGAAGTGCAATAACTTTTGTAACTTCAAAACGCCACATACTTGTATTGTATTCTTATAAACTCAGCCCCATATATGTATATGGGTATGGTGGTCACGTTCGAATCGAGCTTGCGCTTATGCAAGCTATTTATGAATTCGAAGTTCTCAGTTATTGTAATAAAACTGCAGAAATGCTGAAAGAGGGAGTTGGTCCAGACCACAGGCTGTTAGATGTCACAATGTTGGGCAGGCTCTTTGGTTGTTATTTTTGTTGGCCGCCAATGACAACGTTGTAGTTATTGTTATTTGTTTGTCCTGCTGCACGTGCGAGTGTGTGTGTGGGTGTAGGTGTAGGTGTGTGGTTTCCATTGTCATTGTGTACGTGCGTTTTGGCATTGAAACAAATTGAATAGTTGCGTTCGTCTTTGGCAATGGCGGCGCTGACGACAGCAATTGGAGCGGCCACAAAAGAGCAGGAGCAGAGGCGAAGGCATCAGCTATAGTTAATGAAAAACTGGAAGGTTGGAATAGGTTTTTTATGCACGTATGTATGTATGTATGTGCCAAGGACAACACACACACACACAAATACAGGTATAGTGACTGTTCGCCTACAGCAATTAGCCACGTTCGAGTCTAAAAGGCCACTTACGCTGTCAATAACTTAATTTCCGTTACAACGTGATTTAATTAACGATTACAATAAGCAGCCAGCAGCAGCAGCTCCACCACAAACTACAACAACAACAATATTATACAGACTTATGCGGACCACTGTTGAAACAATTAAGTGAGTTTCCTTGTCATTTTGGGTTAACCGCGCAACTTATTATTGAGTTGGCTTCCACCCAAAAAGTTAATACACGTTGCGTGCGTGCAGAATGGCGTGCCCTTGTGCATGTATGAGTCTGTATATATATACATATGTGTGTGTGTGTGTGTGTGTTTGCCGCTATGTGAGTTACTGGCTTATGTATAATTGCAGTTACAACAAGCGTTGGCAAACGTCGGATCGACGAGCACGCGTGCCAGCCTTCTGCAGAAGAGAACCTCCGAGATTAGAGATGGCTGCGTGAGATAAGGTAACAGGCCCTTTACAATACCGACAGCTCCCAAAAATAATAAAAACAATAATTCTAAATGCTGATTAATTATAAATTTACCATTCCGAGAGTCCCTAACAAATCTTTGCTAACAAACGCAGATGTACTGGCAGAACTGAAATTTAGCGTTCTCTGACTTGTTAAAGCTTTAAATTAAATTAAAATAATAAATAGACATATTATTATTTGTAGAAAACTCGAAGGCACTTGATAGAATGGGAAAACAGATGTGCGCAGGTTGTCGCAAAATGGATAAGCTTAATATCTTGGCTAATCTATCTTGGAATGTAATCCTCAGTCGGATAGATGGCTAAAGCCATAAATAAACAGAGACAGAAACAGAATAAAAATAACGAACAAAATTTTATTTGAATTTCATATGTTTATTTAATACAAATACAAAGATATCGTTACTACTATGCGTATTTCACTATTACTAGGAGTTACCACAACTTATGCTCAGATTTCGGCTATGAGTCGGCACCTACTCGTATATTCTGTTTATACGATTTCACTGTAGCTTTTAAACGAATTTTGATATGATTTCGTAAAGAATTGCAAATTTTATTCTCATATATTGCTAGCTAATAGTCGTAGATTTGAGAAAATTGGATAATTATTAATGCGCTTAACTGAATGCCATTATGGCCCGTCTCCCTGTAATATTGGCACGTGCACATATCTACATAAGTATATACCTACTTGTACATATTTTCAACATGTGTATGTATTTGTGCGCAATGTTCTGTGTCTGCTAATATGCGTGTGTGGCTGTGGTCAAGAACAGCTCTTGCTCCTCTGCGGTCACGCACGATGGTAATTTGCCATTAATTTGGTTTGATCATCATTAAATAGAACTAGAACTAGTGTAGAACTAGGCATGAGTAATAGAATGCCGCTGACTTTCGAAGAGCAGCTATTCCAACTAACTAACCTTGCCAACTTTTCAGTGTTTACACCAAACATTACGCATACGCAGTGTATGACCTTAAACATGTTGCTGCTGTTGCGGTGAATTCCCTGCGATTCTGGGTTAGCCCGGCAAACAACGACAACACAACGCACTTTGGCTTCCACTTCATTTACAATGCCTCACCCCTAGCCCACTGTCTTTACTCTACGGTTAACAACCAAAGCTTTTGCGTGCATTTTTGGCTCGGATAGTTGGCAGCCAAAGTAAAGTAAAACCAAAAAAAAAAAAGAAAAAAAAAGAAGAGCAGGTGGAGAGGGAGAGAGTGACGAAGAGAGCCCCATTTGCGGCCCAACTGTCCATGTTAATTTGCGGTTGCCACGCCCTTCATATCCGTGCGCCCCCATCACAACAATGCACGCGGCGCAGCGCAAACACAAACAAAGTTTTCATTTAACTTGCAGCGCCATGGCCATTGTTTGTGCCACGCCCACTCTGTCCACTGGTTAATCGCTGCATTTAAGCGCATTAAGCGGTGAGTGGCAGCTGCTGAAATGCAAACGATACACGGAACATGATGCATGACGCGCGAACAAGAGTTGCGTGCATCAGGAGCCGCGCTGATTTTGGATGAATGCGGATGTGCGGATCGTGGCCGGAAGGGTGCTGCTTTAGGCGGACCCCATGCTGATAACATCGATTCCGCATTTTCGCACAGTGCTGGCGGTCGCGCGATAAGAGTCGTATAGTCAGACACACTTAAGCGTTGGCTTGCCTTTCATATTGTGCACCAAATAATCAGAAAGTGCCTATTGAAAACGATTTTATTGCACTTTTCAATGCGTTTGAACCAACTATGGAACATTTCCTTCGACCAATCCAATAATCGAACGCAGTGTTTTATAGCAAACTATCCTCCAAAAATCATGAGGGGAAATCAATTAGTGGATTCTGTAACTGATTAGAATATTTAATTCTAATTAGGTTGAACATAAATGAATGACCTGTTTAATTCCCATTATAGTACATATACGTACATATTTCCACTAGCCTCGTATACACTTTGGGTACCGAGGAAAAAAAATATATTTCATTTGACACAACTTAATGTCTATTGGTCGAATCTAGTAGGCTTGCGACAATTACAGCCTACCTTTGAAATTGATGTCAGTTGACTTGCTGAGCTCTAGAACTTATTTTATACACAATCTCATTCTTTTCCCGACTTTGGTACTGAACACGTCCAAAAAATAAACAAATACCTTTCGAGAAATTGTTCGCACTTTTGGAATATGTTTTAGTATTCAAAATTTGTAGGTTGGTAAAAAAATCATATGTAGTTAGTTCCACATAGCTTCAATTTTCTAACTTGTTGGTGGAACCTACTCGCAGACTGAGGGTGCCCAAGGAGGTATGGCTTCAGTTTGGAATCCGGACGACGGGGCTAGTCCAAGTGTTTGGCTGAGCCGGATACAAATAAGTGAGCTGAAGTATATGCAGCTTTGTGAGGTGGAAGTAATGCGACTCCTGTAGGGTCGAGGTCGACTTACAATGCCAGATGAGAGCTTAAAGCTGAAGTAACCGTGTTGGCTTCTGTCAATACGAGGTCAACCTGTCGAAGAACACTGCTCCGTTGCACCCCATGCGTGGGGGTGCAGTCAAGTGTGGCCACTGTTGCAAGTTGTAGAGATGCCCACGTCGTCCACATTGTTTCAGTCCTCGTCCAATTGGATGTCATGGTGATACTGCATCCAGTTTGAAATGTTGAGTCACAATACAGTACAGGACAGAGCATACTTGCCAAAGTTGGGAAATTACAGGTGTCGTGCAGAAGGTGTACGGCCACCAGAAAATAATTGATCCAAATAATTAATGTTGTATGAGAAAAGCGTGTATATTTTTTAAACTATGTATATTTTGTAGAAATTAAAGCAGCCTTCCCCCACCCGGCATATAATAAATGTTCTTCAAATGGCAGTAAATCGGTCGTTACTTCTCTTATCTTGTAAAGAAGTGTATGCTTATACTAACGATCTTTTTTTTATTGGGAATTGTTGGAGCTAAATGGTAAATTTCAAATAATATAAGACAACAAATTGTTATCTCTATATACATATATAAAACAGTTTATCCTGACTGACTGATTGGCAATCAACGCACAGCCCAAACGGTAAGAGCTAGGAAGCTGATTTGGACACAAGATCCCTCTTATAGTGAAAGTGAGCACTAAGAAGGGGTTTCGGTAAATTCGAGCTCCAAAGTGGGGAAAACGAGCTCCAACGTTTGTATGAAAAATCTACAATTTTTATCCGACTAGTTTGTATACTCTCACAAAAAATACAAAAAAAAACTGTATACTTGGATTTTCAATATTTTTCCTGCGGCCTGAATAATAATGATTTTCCGGTGAAAAATTCAGTAAACGAAAAGCTATTTGCAATCAACGCACAGCCCAAACGGTAAGAGCTAGGAGGCTGAAAATTGAACACATGTTGTCTTCAGTGGTGTAGGTGAGCACTAAGAAGCGGTTTTGGAAAATTCGAACGCCAAAGGGGGGAAAACGGGCTCCAACGTTTGTATGAAAAATCTATAATTTTCATCCAATTAACTTCAAACTTAGTTTGTATACTCTCAAAAAGAATACAAGAAAAACTGTATACTTGGTTTTTCACCATTTTTCCTGGGGCCTGAAAAAGGGGGGTTTTCCGTGGAAAAATTGAAACACAATCAACACCCCACAGCCCAAACGGTAAAAGCTAGGAAACTGAAATTTGGGCTCAAGTATCCTATCATGGTGTAGATGCGCACTAAGAAGGGATTTTTGAAAATTCGAGCTCCAAAGGGGGGAAAAGTAGCTCCAAAGTTTGTTTGAAAATTCTGCATTTCTGAATCGATCAACTTAAATTTGGTTTTTATAATCTATAAAAGAATACAAACAAAACTGCATACTCGGTTTTTCGAAATTTGTGTTGGAGCTTGAATTATTGGGGTTTTAATATTTATGCATTTTTTCAAATGAAAAGTTTGTGTTATAAATTTTGTCCGATCGATTTCAAATTTGGGTAATATAATATACGTAACTAAAATTACAACTTTGCATTTAACGATTTTTAAAATATGCATTTTACAAATGCAGGCAGAACAAACAATACAAAATATCAAACAGTTGGGGACAACTAAGTATACATACACACACACACACACACACATACATACATACAAGCAAACGGTTGAAGTAGCCAAATCAAAATGTGAGACACTAATGTGTGAATGTTCATTTGTACACATGTATGTACATACATACATACATACATATGTATAAAAGTACATTCGTCTTGCACTGACAGGGCAAGAAATGTTAATAAATAAAAAATTATTAACATTATAACATAAACATTTTTATGTTATTTTTTCTTTGTTTAGTACATTTCGCATAAGGGGTTTTTAGGACAACGGACTACAAGGGCGTACTCAGGTTGGGCAGGGGGGACATTGCTCCCCTTAGAAAGAATTTCGCATTATGAATTACACCAGCACCATATGTATTACATACGTACATACATATGTACATACGTCTGTATGTATAGTATGTACATATGTACATCAATAAGTATGTATGTACGTTCATACATTCCTATATACATATATAGGTTTGTATGTACAAGTATGCAGTGGGCTATCGAACACTGTTGTTTAATTGTAAAAAATAGTTTTCTATGGTTTCAAATCAAAATTTTTAAAACAACAACAACAACTTCAAGTTATTGGCTCGCAAATCTTCTTTCGTTTTGATCATTTACGCCTGTTCATTACATACGCAAAATGCCAAAAGTTTACAGTTACAGTACCCATACAAATAAATTTGTATGTATGTATGGGTACAGTGTACAATCGAATACAGTATTATAATCAATAACTCTCAAACGATGTTTTTCGATGTATTTGTATTCGACATGTATTACGATATATCAACACAAGTATCGATATTTTCGATATATCGCATTTAATTTTATTATTGGGGTTTTAATATTTATTCACTTTTTTAAATGAATAGTTTGTGTTATAAATTTTGTCCGATCGATTTCAAATTTGGGTAATGTAATCAACATAACTATATCAACAAATTGGCATTCAACGATTAAAATATAGCAATATGTTTTTTACTTGCCATATATCAAATATCAAATAGTTGGGAACAGTTCGTGTCTATGTGTGCCCATGCATACATACATATGTACAAGCATATGTATCTATGCCTGTATATGTATGAAGCATGTAAATACAAAACAACAACAACAACTTCAAGTTTTTGGCTCGCTCATCTTCTTTCGTTTTGACCATTTAATGTTAATTGCAAAGGCAAAACGCCAAAAGTATACAGTTACCGTCGCTAGGCAACGACTGCGTAAGCGATAGTAAAGCAGAAACCGAATAACGGAGCTACGCATATTCTGCTTCGCATTGCGGGCAGATGTATGTATGTATATGATTTGTTCTTATCGATCTCAATAAATAATTAGATTTTATTATTTAAATATTCTGCTTATTGCATTCAAACTTCGATATTTTGATGGTATCGGTGGCTTCAACTATCGAAAGTTCTACTCTAGCAAATTGAGATGAGAATTGTTAGTGCTTTTTGATCGTGGCTCATCGCTGCACGGCATTGACACGAGTGCAGTGTTTCATATTCCGAGGTTGTGCGTGACCGTATTGACTCAATATGGCACGAAAAGGCTCAAATGTGAATTTAAAATTAGGATATACCCTTATAATTATTCCCCTTTTTTGCACATAGTCTATCTTAAAATGTTGCGTTATCTCTATATACAAGTATAAAACAGTTTGTCCTGACTAATTGGTGATCAACGCACAGCCCAAACGGTAAAAGATGAAATTTGAACTCAAGTATCCTTTCATAGTATCCATCATAGTGTAGGAGCACACTAAGAAAGGCTTTTGGAAAATTCGAGCTCCAAAGGGGGGAAAACGAGCTTTAAAAAATATTAGTTATAGTGGTCATGTTCGTTTAACGAAATAGTTTGGCAAGAACAAAAATGTAACGGACTACTGAACCATTTTTTGTCAAGAACAGAAAATGTTCATTTAAATACCTTAAATGCCTTCCTACTGGTAACTTATAAGGTGAAAACATATGGGTAGGTTATGCACACACAAAATAAATACAATTGGAAACATTATATTGAGCCGGGTTAAGACGGGCAATACCTGCTAGTAATTCATATAGAAGTTGTTTCGGGAATATTTTGTATAGCTTAGATTTGGATTAATATTTGTTGATATAATTTAAAATTTCTAAAGCAGAATAGTCAGTTCAATAATTTGATTTATTTAGTGTCTCTCTTAATCCATATAAAAATGGACAGCAATAGTTAATAAATAGGGTTTTCTCAAACAATTTCTCGAAAGCGTGTCATACTTGCCTGCAACTCGCCAGTTAAGTTTCGGAAGAGGGAGTTCTGAAAAGTTCGGGAAATCCCAGCTGTGTTTAAATAAATGTTAGGCTTTTGCGTTTCTTTTATAATCTTTTGCTTTTATTTTATCTTTTATACTTTTTTATACATAATTTTATTTTAACTTCACAAAAAAAATGTTTGACTTCATTTCAATAATTTAGCCCGCATGCTCATCATGCATTTGGATTTGAAAAGTTTTCGTTATCGTTTCTGTTTTTGTTTTCGTATTCGACTTCAAACTTGAATGCTCGCTCTGGTTGCTTGGTATGCTTTTGTTGTTTCAGTTAAGTTTGCTACCAATAAAGATCAGCTATGCATTACAACTATATAATTATCAATTTTCAATTGTGTTGTTCATTTGTTTGTAACTTTTGACTCTGACTCTGACCGCCTCCGTTCTTCTGCCCCTCTGCCACTCTGCCCGCATCGAGCGGCTCTGGGCTCTCTAAAATTAGTGTTGTTTTGGTTTTTGTTTCGCTTAGTTATTTTAACTAGAGTGAATGTAAAGAGCGAACCATTACATTGCTTTTGTGTTGTTTTGTTTTCTTTAAATACATTTATTAGTTTCTTCTCGGGGTTTTGATAAAAGACCATAGTTCCTTTACTATTTAGTTGTATACATATATATATATAGTATATATACATATACTTTTCGTTCTCCTCTAAATTTTTGTGTTTTATTTTTATTTGCGTTTTTATAACAATAAAGTTTTGTTTTGATATAATTCAAGCAGCGCACACTTACAATACTTTAAGGGTTTCTCTATTCACTTTTAGCTTTTCTCTTTTATTTATTGACAGGTGCCAACAAATTTGTCTGGCGCTGCCATAAATCGTCCTTTTCTTAGTTTCTCTTGCTTTATAAGTCACACTGAACTAACTGGTATATATTTTCTGTTTTCAGTTTCCTTCTTAATCTAACACTATGACTTGTATTTGCTGCACTTTCTGCTTAGTGTATCGTGTAGCCTTTCTACTCAAAGAAAATGAAAAAATTGAACGACTGCAAATATTTGCGACATTGTGTCTCGCCCAAGCTAGTCCGCTTAGACATGTATGATGCTCACAAATTACAACTATAAAATAAAAATTAAAAAAAAACTGGAAAGTTCTCTAAAACGAGATTTTTATTTTTCTCACATTTGGTTTTTGTCCATTGGCTTTTTGAATTTGTTTACCCAAATTTTCAATTTGATTTCTACAATAGATTATGTAAACTTTAGCAAAATGAATAAATACATAGGAGTTGTACATATACATACATATACTTATACATATACACATCTATATATATATATATATATATATATATATATATATATATAGTATATATACTTGTATTTATACCTATTGAGTTCTACTTGTATATACATTTATCTAAACGCTTCTGCTATTCTCGCTAGGCGCTTCTGGCACCTAATAAATAGATATCTTTCTTGGAGTTCCCCCTCGCTACTATTTGGGCATCTATTCGGGCATATAGCCTGATACAGACTCTTC